GATATATCCATGAAAGCCTAGTGGTCCTTAGAGCAGAACAATCAGAACGATGGGCTGCTATGACACACACTGACCACTGGGGGGCAGATGCTAAATGCTGGACCTGACCCTCGTGGTCAGGGTGCTCCAACAGCAGGAGTGCCGCTCAGCCAGGAGCTGGGCTCCCACTTCTGCAGCAATGCGAAGTAGCAGTGAGCCAAGTGGTAAGGAGTAAGCAGATGGTTAGCAGTGAGGGGTCCCAGATTGTTAGAGGAATGTCCAACTGCCAATTGAGCCTAAACCAGCAGTTGGAAATCCTCTGAGGGGTCCCAGGTGGCAAGTGGGTTCAGGCTAGGGTGAGAGAACCCACTGTGCTCAAATTTTGTGCATCAGGCCTTTAGTATGTGTACAAGGTATTTGGTTAATCTCTTCATCCTTCCCCTTCTTCCCTTCCTTCTGAGATTCATCAGCCTTTTTCACGTTTTCAAGCCTGTGCATTGAGTGCTCCCCCTGGTGATCCATACATGTCATAGCTACCGGTCAAATGGTTACTTAGGCATATATATGACTTTCTTTATCTCTTTTGACAGTTTTTTGTTGTTGTTAATCCTCACTAGAGGATATTTTTCCATTTATTGTTTTTTTATCCTTAGTGCATAGAGTAGTGACTGGCTTATAGTAGTCAGCTGAGAAATATCTACTGAATGGAGTTTCTTGGCCCTGTGCTCTCTCTCCCTTTTGCCTTCTCCTCATTCCCACCTTAGTAACTCAACTTAGTGTATGTTCTCCTTGGTTGGGTATGTGGTACAATTCAGTTCTCTTTGGCTCTTACCTTCAGACTCAGATCTTAACCTTCCTTTGCTCAATGGGCTCTGTCAAATAATTATACCCACTCAGGGTCTCAGCTTGTCCTCACTCAACCGACATCACTTTACAGGTATAAGCTGAATGAACTCAACTTGAAGGCTAGTAACCCCACAGTGAGCTATATAAAAGGAAAAAAGACATATCCAGAAGACTTTGAAAAATATAAAAGTTAACTTCAAGTCAAATAATTATGAGCACATGTCAATGTTTTATTTCAAACTAGAGTTCCAGCACACAAAATTGGTGCACAGTTACGGTCCTTAGGCCTGTCCTGCAATCAAGGCTGCTCAGGTTACCTGCCTCCTGGCCTCCCACCTCTTCCTTTCCCTGCTGCCCATGCACCACCACTGTGTAGTTCCCAGTCTCCCAGCCTCCCCTATTTTTCCTTTCCTCACTCCCTCAGTGTCTCCCCTCCACCCCCATTGCGGGTATCCTGCCATGTTCTATGCTGCCCACTGTGGTCAGTGCACATCATAGTGAGCAATCAAACTCCTGGTCTGCTGTTTGAACCCCTGAGGGGACAATTTGCAAATTAGCCTTTTATTATATAAAATTACTGCAAAAAAAATCTCCTTAGTAAACATATTTAAATAATTAGTCTTGGTAGAGACATTTTATAGGAGATTTGATTTTTTAAATTTGGATTAAAGATCATTATTATGATTCAAGGACTAGTTCATAATTATTCTACTTTTGATTATTTATCTACTTGTTATCAGGTACCTTAAACAATTAATAGTAATTTAAGTATGTAACACTGACCCTCTAGTAGTTTTTATTTCATTAATGTATACAGAAAATTGCTCAAGCATTTAATTAGAAATGATAGTTAAATCTCATATGGAACTAGACATTACATCCTTCAAAAGAGGCTCATTCTGGACCAGTTTTGGAAAACTTATATTTCTCAAGAGTAGAGTCTTTATTGTAGTATCAATAAAAGTGTCAGAATGATTAGGTCTCTGATCTTGTCCTTCTTACAAGATAATAAACGGTTGTGCTTTTTTTAATTTTTTTTTTTATGCTTTCAGTAAATACACAAGACTCCTGGGTCAGAGACAAAGGCTTTCATTACTTACCAGATAACCGGTCCACGTATTTGTGCATGGGTGAGGGTCCCTCAGTCTGGCCAACAATCAGGGCCAATGGGGGTGGTCCGTCTGAGGAGGTACCTCCGGAGGGCTACAGGGGATGTCGGGCCCTCTTGCACAGTCCTCATCAGCTGAACCCCAGCAGCAAGTTAACATATCATCGGAGAGCCTGCCTTCTGCTGGTCAGTACACATCATAGCTATTTGTCGAATGGTTGACTGAACAGTCGACTGATTGTTGAGACAATCTTAGCATATTATGCTTTTATTATATAGGATTATATAGGATGGCATAGCAAGGAGCATGTCGACATGTATCACTTGCCCTTAAGTCTCATGGAGTGGTCTACTGGGTACAGATAGATGATATTAGTGCAGCAGGATTGTGTCATAGATGAGAAACACTGAGCTTAGGGAATTCACTGCATTTTCTTTAGATGATATTAGTGCAGCAGGATTGTGTCACAGATAAAAAACACTGAGCTTAGGGAATTCACTGCATTTTCTTTAGTAAGTAGTAAGCTTCTCTTTGTCTCAGAGAAGACATTACCTCATCCCTCAGTGTTGCATGTTGCAAGCACAACCCTGAGAAATGGTTTCAGGTTGAGAGGCCATGGCCTTACCTTATTGCTATACCCAGCAAGCACATCGAGAGACTTGCAATCTACTCCAGGGTCCTTCATGTTGTTAAATTTCTAGAAAGTTTTCTTGTGAGTATGAAACTCTGTCATCTATTCTGATTAATCTGATTGACAGAGACTGAGGCTAGATCTATTCTATTAGTCTCAAATCACATTTAATTTAAGCTACTATTCAGAGACTCTAAACAGCAGGATGAGATCAATCTGTAGCATTAACTCGAACCATGCCTCCTAGCATCTCAGAATTCATCAACTGTGAATAAGTCCCAGGATACAAACAGTCAGGATATAGCATATAATCATTATGGTCCTTGCAAAGTAATTTGGGATACTAATCTTTGCTTTACTTGACAAAAAAGAACCAAAAAGCAACCACCTTTTCAAATGGAGAGATATTCTGTCTCACCACACATAAACATATAATCTGAAAAGGGAGAGGTGAATCCAGTTTGGGATTTACTATTGGACTTGATTAGAATCAGCATTACATTAATTTGGTTAAGCTATAGGAGCAGCATTACTGAGTATCTGCAACCTTTACAGTCATTCATGGTATTATACATAACTCAAGACTGCTTAGACACCAGATGCATATATACTAGTATTTGTACCAGTTTGACTGAAACAAGGTTGTGATGATGTATGTGTTTTTATAGAAATGGGGATGGGAATCTCTGTTGGGAAGCTTCCGTTGATGGTGTCAGGCACAGTAGAATAGTTCAGGACAGACCATCTTAATAGACTTTATGTTTTCATAAAATGGGTAAGAGAATAACAAACCAGAGCAAGTCAGATTGCCAACTGCAGCTGTTGCTTGGCTCCAGCAGACCATACAAAGAGCACTTATCCTCTCTCCCTGCTGGTCTAAGGTTTTCCCATCTCACGTGCCTGGGTGGTTGTTCTTTCTCCACCATTACAAATTGGTGAGACCATTCTAGTAACTATAACTCTGCTTTTTGCTAGTAATTTGTAATCACATTATTTTTGTGTGTGTGTAGAAGGATAAAGAGCAAAAGGGACCATTTTATCATTTATTTTATTTATTATTTATTTTGTTAATCCTCAACTGAGGATATTTTTCTATTGATTTTTAGGGAGAGTGGAAGAGAGAGAGGGAAAGGCAGAGAGATACATTAGTGTGAAACACACTGATTGGTTGACTCCTGCATGTACCCTTACCAGGGCATGGACTGGGGAGGAGCCTGCAAAAAGTTACCTGCTTTTGTTGGAATCCAACCTGGATCCCTTTGATTGCAGGCTGACTGTTTAACCAATCAGCTACCGGGTAGGGCTGAACATTATGGCCTTTATTAATTTGCATTGATTAAATAATTAGTGAGATGTGTTCCAGGCTGATTATAAGTATGAGCCTCTGTCTAATGTCTTTTTTCTTTTTAACACCAAATAAAGGAGTAACCTCTTTCCCACACTTTGATGCCTGTATCCACCACCATAAAACCATATGAAGCTCAGCTACATTGAGGCAATAGTTAGTTGATCTTTGTCTTTCTACTTGATGAATGGCTTTAAAAAATAATATAGTTTCTCAACAGTATTCTAAGTATTGTCTTCTGTGGCTAATTTATCAATGAGGTAGTTACTCTTTGATTTTTTTAAAATATATTATATTGATTTTACACAGAGAGGAATTGAGAGGGATAGAGAGTTAGAAAGGTTGATGAGACAGAAACATCGACCAGCTTCCTCTTGCACACCCACAACTGGGGATGTGCTTGCAACCAAGGTAGGTGCCCTTGACCAGAATCGAACTTGGGACCTTTTAGCCCGCAAGCTGACTCTCTATCCACTGAGCCAAACCGGTTTGGGCTACTCTTTGATTTTTGCTTAATCCCATTTCTCATTTACTTTAGGACTAACATCACCTACTACAGAAGGTGACATCTGCCCTAACTGGTTTGGCTCAGTGGATAGAGTGTCAGCCTGTGGACTGAAGTGTCTCAGGTTTGATTGCTGTCAAGAACATGTACCTTGGTTGTGGGCACATCCAAAGTAGCAATTGTGCAGGAGGCAGCTGATCAATGTTTCTCTCTCATCAATGTTTCTAACTCTCTATCCCTCTCCCTTCCTCTCTGTAAAAAAATCAATGAAATATATATATATATATATTTTAAAAGAAGGAGACATCATCACAGATTCTGGAAGAAAGAATCACACATGCTGCAGTTTTGGCATCTCATCTATGAAATGAGAAGGAAACCCAGTCAGCTCTCTTGAACCTTTGGTCTGCCTCTGGCCCCCAGAGGGCGATGTTACACAGGTAAGAGGTTTATTTTTGTTGGAAACCATCACCATGCACTTAGCCCCTCCTCCCTGCAGCTGGCAGTGGTGTCCTCACTGATGTCTGAGTAGATAGGAACCTGTAAGGAGAATAAGAGGCCAGAGAAGATCCCAGTTCATTAAAAGGAAGCCTTGTCAAGGCGAGGGGCTTGGCCAACTTAGCCTCCGAAGGCTCAGTGACCTCAGCTCTTGTTTTACCTGCTCCGGACCTGCAGCCCTTGCACTGCTCAGCCATGGTCCTGCTACTCATCCCTGTGCTTGAGCTGATTTTTGCCCTGAGTAAGTAACATTCCATGCCCTTTGCTGTTTGCACAATAGTGAGCATGTTCTTAGTGGAAACTGAATAGAGACACCTTTTCTTCGGGGCCAAGTCTACCCTGCTTTTACTCACACAGCATTGATGTTTCAGGAGGAACCGGAGCACAGTCAGCCAGCCAGCCTGATGGCCACGTCCCTGTCTCTGAAGGAGCCCCACTAGAGCTGAGATGCAAATATTCAATTTCTGGTACACCTTACCTCTTCTGGTACCGGCAATACCCCAACCAAGGGCTCCAGTTTCTTCTCAAGTACATTTCAGGGGACCCCCTGGTTAAAGGCATAGACGGTTTTGAAGCTGAATTTAGGAAGAATGAAACCTCCTTCAACCTGAAGAAACGCTCAGCCCACTGGAGCGACTCTGCTGTGTACTTCTGTGCTGTGAGTGACACAGTGACTGAGACTGCAGGGGGAGCTGAGCACAAACCTCCGGAGACACTCGGACTTTCTGTGACTCAACAACTCAGCCTTGCACTGCCTGGGGAGTTCCCAAGAAGGTTTTTCTTTTTTTGTCCTGTGAAGCCAAAAGGGAAGAGTAGGTGGAGTTTGGGGAGTGCTTCAACATCAATGCTGTGCTACATTCAGATCACATTTGAACCAGATGGAGGTCTTCTAATGAATTTCTCCAGGAGGGACATACCCTCCCCCAACTTCCCATCCTACTCCCACACTGATAAAAGTACATCATAAGGTGTTATAGTTTGGAAGTGAAAAATGCAAGAGCATTTTTATAAAAACACACATTTCTAGCATTTATTATTCATAATTATCACTGACTCAGGTGTTAATCAATATGTAGGAATTGGAAGTACTTGATTATAATGTTAGCTGACAAGCTGTTCTGTATAAATTCTCAATTAGGGCAACCTATACACATCAATTCTTAATTAGTGTATATAGATTCTCAACCTAGATTTAAAGTTTAACTTCTAGCACATACATAATACCTTACTGTGCAATGTTTGTATGTTTTAATGTAAATTTGACATTATAATAACTTGTTTTCTAATCTTGCATTACACAAAACCAATTGAACACAATTATTTTTTTACCAAGAAAACTTAAGTTAATTTAATTTATTTCTATATTTATTGTATTATTTTAAAATTTATTGATTGATATTTTCTTAGAGAGAAAGAAAGGGAAATGATAGAAAGATAGAAACATCAATAAGAGAGGAACATCAACACTTGGCTGCCTTCTGCACTTCTCCTTCTGGGAATCGAGCCTTTAACCCATTCTTATACCTTGACTGGGAGTCAAAATTTTACCACTGAACAACACTAGCCAGGCTACTTTTTATTTTTATTAAAATTTTGGGGTAACAATGATTAATAAGGTTATATAGCTCTTAAGTGGACATTTCTCCATACATGAAATCAAAACTACAATGAACATAATTTTTAATGCAACACATATTGAAAAATCGAAAAGCCACACACTTGTAATTGTTTTTGAAAGTTATTCCAGTGATTTACAAAATAAATTTTTAAAATAGAAATTTGTTGTTTTAAGAGAGGAAAGGGGGAGAGAGAGAGAGAGAGAGAGAGAGAGAGAGAGAGAGAGAGATCAATGAGAAGAATCATTGATCAGCTTTCTCCTGCACACCCCTATTGGGGCTTGAGCCTGCAACCAGGCATGTGCCCTGACCAGGAATCAAACCTTGACGTCCTGGTTCATAGGTTGATGCTCAACCACTGAGCCACACTGGCTGGGCTCAAAATTAAAAATTTGAGGCTAGTAACCCATAAAAATATATCAAGTACAACAGATTAAATTACTAAAAAACTCTCAGGTATTTTATAAGTCACATTAATTTATGGTAAAATAACACACTCAACAAAATTTCAGTTTTTCAAACCACATTATAAAATTTATAGAGAAATGGGCCTACACTACGGAACTTCACAATAGGAAAGATTACCTTAATTCTCAGGAGGATATCCAAGATCCAGGAAGATTTTTATTTACTCCGAAACTATTATAACTAAAAGCCAACTTGTTTAACATATTTTATATACATTATATGTGTTTTATATATATACTCCAAATGATTATTTGTGACTTGATTTATATCATAGGATAAGAAAACTGCCTCCTTGGGTGACTGGGCATGCTGCTTTTTTTCAACCCAAAGGGAAAGAAGCTCCCGATCACTTTCAAATACAGTTTCTCGGGTCACACGGGGGACCCAGACACCTATGGGAAGAAGCTGGTCTGTGGGCCATCGGGTTGGAAAGTGAGGATAACTTTTTTGCAGAGGTCCCGCAGCAATCACTGTTTAATGCACTGGAACTTGGGGACTTGGAAACACTAAAAAGCAGAGAGAGCTGATGGCAGCCATCACTGTTTGCCATGCCCTAGCTTAGTGATGCCCTGAGACCCTGCCCTGCCCTGAGGCCCCACTCCACCCTGAGGCCCCGCCCAACACATTCTACAAACCCGCCCAGGCACCACACAGCTGCATATAAATGGCCTGTATAGTGGCAGCTTAAGGAAACAAACTGCAGCTCCAGCTCCAAAATCGCCAAATCCCTAGCAAAGAGGAGAAAACTGTAGTTCTTGCAGTAGCTCCTGCTGGATGGCCTCAGACAGTAGCTGAACTGTACCCCATTGGAGATCCGGAAACTAGTGTACCTAGTGGTTGGTGTGAGACAACACCAGATTTCAACTACTCTCATAAGGGACACATTCAAGAGACAGACTCAGTGAGCACCAAAGCCCCAGTGGAACAAGTCCTACCCAATAAGCATGTCTACAGCACAGCAATTCTTCCATTATAGACACAGTGAGTCCTCACAGCCAATTGGCCTGGAGGTCAATTCCTCCCAGTGACACCAACAACAATTGAGACTTAACTACAACAAGGGTGTACACACAGTCCACAAAGGGGTGCACCAAGAGTGTCCACAACAGGCAACTGGGAGGCTGACCCATTGAACCATATAGGACACTCAGGCCCACAAAGCTACCTTACCAACTCAGGGAAGCAGCAAAAATGCCAAGAAAAGGAAATAGATCTCAAACAAAAGAAATGGAGGAAAACAAAAGACTGGATATAGAGTTCAAAACCACAGTTATAAGGTTTTTCAAGAATTTCCTAGCAAAGGCTTATAAATTTAATGAAACCCTTGAAGATATGAAAAAGAAATTAAACCAACTAGAAATTAAACATACTCTGACTGAAATAAAAATATATATATATATATTATACAGAGACCCAACAGCAGACGAGAAGAATGCAAAAATCAAGTCAAAGATTTGGAATACAAAGAGGCAAAGGACACTCTTCTGGAGAAGCAAGAAGAGAAGAGAATCCAGAAAGTTGAAGATAGTGTAAGAAGCCTCTGGGACAACTTCAAGTGTACCAACATCAGAATTAAGGGGATGCCAGAAGAAGAGAGAGAGCAAGACACTGAAAACCTATTTGAAGAAATAATGTCAGAAAACTACCCCACCTGGTGAAAGAAATAGACTTACAAGTCCAAGAAGCACACAGAACCCCAAACAAAAGGAATCCAAAGAGGACCACACCAAGACACATCAAATTAAAATGCCAAGAGCAAAAGACAAAGAGAGAATTTTACAAGCAGCAAGAGAAAAACAGTTATCTACAAGGGAGCACCCATAGGATTGTCAGGTGATTTCTCAACAGAAACTATTCAGGCCAGACTGGAGGAGCAAGAAATATTTAAAGTGATGAATAGCAAGAACCTACAACCAAGATTACTCTACCCAGCAAAGCTATCATTCAGAATTGAAGGACAGATAAAGAGCTTCATAGATAAGAAAAAGCTAAAGGAGTACATCACCGCCAAACCAGTATTATATGAAATTCAGAAATATTTGACTATTGATAAGACAGTGTGACTTTTTTCCCCTTGAAAAGCTTTCATAAAAATATTATTATTTATAATTGGTATAATTTTAAAATCAAGAAATACTATATTTTATGTATTAGTGAAGCCTCAATAAAAGACTGTTTATTTCTGTTTAATTTTTAAAATATTTAGTAATCACGTAATAAACATCAGTCACTGTTCTATATTGGGGTATATAACTTTCCACTTTATTTATTTATTTTTTTAACTAAATAATTTGTAGTTTTATTTTTTTTACATTTTTTCATTAAATTATTATCTGTGTACATATTTTAAGATTGCCCCCCCCCCTCCCATACAAACCATCCCTCCCCAGAGTTTTGTGTCCATTGGTTGTACTTATATGCATATATACAAGTCCTTCGGTTGATCTATTATCTCCCCCAGATCTTCCTACCCTACCTGCTGTAATTTGACAGTCTGCTTGTTGCTTTATTGTCTCTATATCTATCTTTTGGTTCATCAGTTTATAATGTTCTTTATTATCCATAAATGAGTGAGGTCATGTGGTGTTTCTCTTTCATTGACTGGCTTATTTCACTCACCATGATGTTCTCCAATTCCATCCAGGTTGCTGCAAATGATGAGAATTCCTTCTTTATTATGGCAGCATAGTATTCCATTGTGTAGATGTACCATAGTTTTTGGATCCAATCATCTGCTGACGGGCACCTAGGCTGTTTCCAAATTCTAGCTATTGTAGATTGTGCTGCTATGAACATAGGGGTGCATATATCCTTTCTGATTGGTGTTTCTAGCTTCTTGGGATATATTCCTAAGAGTGGGGTTACTGGGTCAAATGGGAGTTCCATTTTCAGTTTTTTGAGAAAACTCCACACTGTTCTCCACAGTGGTTGCACCAGTCTGCATTCCCACCAGCAGTGCACAAGGGTTCCTTTTTCTCTGCAACCTAGCCAACACTTGTCCTTTTGTTGATTTGTTGATGTTGGCCATTCTGACAGATGTGAGATGGTACTGCATTGTTGTTTTGATTTGCATCTCTCAGATAATTAGTGACTTTGAGCATGTTTTCATAAGTTAATAAAGAGTTTTAGCCAGGTTCACACAGGAGTTCCTACCAAGGAGTATTTTCTTTGCATTTGCTGCAAAGGTTTGAAAGAGGGAAGAAAATAGGGCCATTTTATAGTTCTCCTGGAATTCATTGTGGGGAGAAGGGAAGGGCGCAAATTAAGAATGAAAGGCCTATCTTTCAAATCTCACTTTGCTTTCTGAATAGGGGTGAGTGGTTAAAACCAAGTGGAAAAGAATCCTTCATCCCTGATCATCCTCTGGGGGGTGGGAGTGGGGGAAGACAATTGCACAATTCAGTGCAATTATTCAGTGGGTCCCTTTTACAACTTAAGGTGGTACAAACAGGTCACTGGGAGAAGTCCTGTTTTCCTGATAATCATGACTTATAGCGAGACACAAAAATCTAATGGAAGATGCACAGCAATTCTGGATCAAACCACCATGCTCCCTGCACATCACCATCAACCAGCTCAGCGATCCAGCCTTGTACATCTATCTCTCCAGGTACTTGCAGCAAGAACCCAAACCTGCATTGGTAGATTACTGAAGACTGCTTAGATACCAAAAGCGTATATACTAGTATTTGTACCAGTTCGACTGAAACAAGGTTGTGGTGATGTATGTGTTTTATACAAATGGGGGATGGAAATCTCTTTTGGGAAGCTTCCATTGATGGTGTCAGGCACGGCAGAATAGTTCAGGACAGACTTTAATAGACTTTCTGTTTTCATAGAATACAGGAGAGGATAACAAACCAGACAGGTCAGATTGCCAACT